GGGAGGCAAAAGGCCTTTTCCACCTGTGCCTCCCATCTCACGTCTGTGACCCTCTTCTATGGCACAGCCAATATGACTTATATCCAACCCAAATCTGGCTACTCCCCAGAAACAAAGAAGGTGATGTCATTGTCTTACTCACTTCTTACACCTCTGTTGAATCCACTGATCTACAGCTTGAGAAACAGTGAGATGAAAAGAGCTTTGATGAAATTGTGGCGAAGAAAGGTGAATTCACACATATTCTGATTGTGTTGAGAAGCTATGTGCTGTTTGGCCGCTGCTCGACTAAACTCCGTTTAAATATAATAAATGGCCATTCTATATACCTCAGTATTAACATGCTTAATTTGTTATTTTTCCAAGGTCAATAATATATTAGGGATCCCTATATTGGTAGTGTATTATTGTCATTCATTTTTTAATATAATATATAATACAACAGTTAATCTGTTCCTCTGTTACGATCATCTAGATCATTACCGGATTGTTGTCATTAAGACAAAACTTCAATAAACATCTCATTCCATACATCCATATAATCATAGTAATATTTTATTTCTGACAGATTCTTCAAAGTGGGTCTGATGTAATAAAGAGCATGTGTGCTTATAAGTTTTACTAGCTATTAACAGCAGAAGTACTTTTCAAAGTCATTGTAACTTTTCAGACTGACCTGAAGGCCCACTCTGTTGCACTAAGCACTGTAGGGCTTCACGAAACTGACTAGATGAGATTTTTATTCCTGGAGTGAAAACCTGTTCTGTGAATGAGTAAGAAAAGATACATTTATTTTGGGGTGATCAAACTGGTTCCACGTCATGGACTCACACAGATTATTGTTCAAAACAGGATTTCCCTTGGTATATTTCTAGATATTCACCCAATGGTGGGGAGCAAAGAACTACACGAGAAACTTCCCTAAAGTCTCACTTGATACTTGAGTATCTTTTTTCACTTACAGACTACTGTTTTTAGAGACTTTTGTTAAATTTCCTTTGGTTGCCCCAAAGGGCCCCAGACACTTTGTTTATAGACATAGGATGATTCATTTCTTTTATTGTGGGAAACTAAATGATAAACTATTTGGCATATTTTCTATGGTTGTGAGTCAAATCACTAACTATTTGATCTTCCCCAGAACAATTTCTCATCTTGTAACATTTGACAGTTACTTGCTATTCTAATGTTGTTAGTCATAAATAGAGGGACCCCTTTATTGGAACGATATCACTTCTATATCAGCTCCTATTGCGTTAGTTTCTGTTCGAGGGATGGTCATAAAGGGGAAAATACTATTCCCATTGCCATTCAGCTGTGGGAAAAGCAAATTTTTAGTAAATATTGCCTCTGTCAGAAATGAGAAGTAGAGATGCAAAACAGATTGGATTTTCACAAAAAGAAATTTCAACCATCAAATGGTTGAAAGCAGTTTGAATGCTATTTGAATGTTTATAATCTTTTCAGTAGAGCACTAAACATGTACTTGGAAATTTTTTCATTAGAGTTTGTCCTGAAATTTCCTTCTCATAGTCCTGAGGGGGAGCGACTAAATAAGGCCATTCAGGAAAAAAAAAAAAAAAAAAAAAAAAAAAAAAAAAAAAAAAAAAAAGTCTTTGGAAGCCTAATTCCTAAGCCAAATATTCACTTTTTACTTTTTGTTGTTTCCTTTGTTCATTCATTCATTCAATAAGTTTTTGTTAGAGGTGACCATTTATGGGGCTGCCCTGGGTTTATACAGTCTCTGCTCTGAAGGAGTTCACAGCTTATTGGAAGATCACTGACTCTGAGATATCATGAAAGCCACACCACGCTTATGTCTTCATCCCAGGTGAAAAACAGAAGTTGAACTGGCAAGGTCAAGGTTTGATTGAATAATATGATGATGTCTCAGAGTCGTGCCAATTCTCTATTTGGTTTTAACTTTGACAAAAATAGCCAGTCCAAAAGGACCTTGTTGCAACTCTACTCCAAATGGCAGTCGCTTCGGCAGTACCAGCTTCAATCTCATGGCAGCTGGTAGGACTGACCCTTGAAATCATGCTTTCCTGGTGTCAACCACAATCAACATGGATAGGAAAAAAGTGGAACTTTAAAATATAAATCTTGGGGTGCCTGGGTGGCTCAGTCAGTTAAGCACTCGACTTTGGCTCAGGTCATGATCTCATGGTTTGTGAATTCGAGTCCCACATCAGGCTCTGTGCTGACAGCTCAGACATAGCTTCAGATACTCTGTCTCCCTCTCTCTCTGTGTCTCCTCCACTATCTCACACACAAGCTCTCTCTCTCAAAAATAAATAAACATTAAAAAAATAAAGTGTAAATCTTATGATGTCTCTCCTTGTTGAAAACGTTTCAATGGGTTTCTATGTATTCAGGATAAAAAAGCCTTTAGTGTGGTGTGTGGAGCCCAGCTTAACTGGGCCTGCTATGCTTTCTTTCTTTTTTCTTTTTTTAAAGTTTATTAATTTATTTTGAGAGAGAGACAGAGAGACAGAGAGACCGAGAGACAGAGACAGAGACAGCACAAGCAGGGGGCATGCAGAGAGAGAATGCTAAGCAGGCCCTGAGCTGTCAGCACAGAGTCTGACACAGGATTCGATCTCACAAACTGTGGGATCATGACCTGAGCAGATATCAGGAGTCAGCCGCTTAACCAGTTGAGCCACCCAGGTACTTTCTGCCTATGCTTTCTACTCATTCATGCTGCACTCTGCCTTTTCCACACTCATTCACTCACCTACATTCCTGGTGCAAGGTCTGCTTTCCATTTTTTGGTGTCGCGATCCCACTCTGAGCTGAAATTGTCGAAACATGCCTTTGTCTCCATCTGATATGTTTCTCACTCCACTTTTCAACTAATTCTTAATCTTCCTGCAGACCTCCCTTTCCTTATGGTGGCCTTCCTTACTTCTCCCATGTCCCAACTGTCCTTAATTTTTTTCTCCCTCTGAAAACCCTGTCCTTTCTTCATGGCCTTTTATCTAAATTTTCTTTTATGCAGCAGAGTGGGATTTTTTTTTTTTTATTCCTAGTAGGAACTTGCACCCAGTTTCTAAGCTAAACAGAAATGTTTGTAAAGTGACACATGGTGGGGATGTAGAGATGTCCTTAGCTTAGTAAGATAAAGTGCAAGACAACAACTCAAAGAAGTTCATCTTCATAGCATAAAATCTGACGTGTGCTTTTTCATTCAAACTGATCAGGCCATCTTGACGACCTCTGAAGAGTTCCACCTGCCCGCCTTCCCTAAAGCTCTCCCACTTAGTTTTCAATGGTTTGTTCACCACACTCAGCTTTTTTGTAATCTACCTGTGGGGGTCAAAGAAATTTTATAACAACTATAAAATTCTGTTGTCTTTTGATGTATTATCTCCCATCCCCTCCTACATTTCAGTGCCTCAATCATTGCACCAGCCAGTACATTTCCCTCCATAGTTATATAATTCCAAGTTATCATTTCGGAAAGTTTTTATCACTGAATTTCCTGTTGTGCTGGGAGATGTCTACACTCCACATAACAGAAGGGATGGGATCTATAGTCCAGCCAGGTGGTAAAGAGCCAGTCTCCAAACCCTATTTTACTGTCTGCTTTCACTGACTCTTTAAGTACCATCTGCGCTGGTTGGGTTCTCTGACAAGCAGACACTGAGATGGGGTCTCCCCAGGGAAGGAAAGTACCTGGGAAAGATAAAGGGCTGAAACAAGATTGTGCTGGATAAGCCCTTTGACTGCCAACCAGGACTGGAAAAGTTTTCTGCACACCCAACAGGGAGCTCTGGATTGTCCATTAGAGGCATCCTGCGTGGGTCAGAATTAATAAGACCCATGCTCAGTTGTTGACCAGGGGCCTTTCCCAGAAGAGTGTGGTTTGGCTTGGAAGCTGAGTTTGACCATGAAGGGGCAAGTATCAGTCAATCACCACCTCTGCATTCACCTGGGCTGTGAGTCTATTCTTGGAGAGGGATCTGAGCAGCACATTTCCATATCTGCCGCAATGTGTCTAAACGTTTGATGTATAGATAGTTTAAATTGCAAGAGGGAAAGTATAAATTTCCAGCGATATACCAAGGCAAAACCATGTGGAAATAGATATTACTTACTATGGATTTGGCTGGCAACAAAAGCAGATAAAACAAAAGAACCTATACCGCTGTTATATGCTTGTCAAAAACATGTTTGAAGGATATAGTAGAATGTTTAATGAGCTAGAAAACACAAACATAGATTAAGTATACATTTCTCATCTTTGCTAATTACATATGTGTGAATATGATTGAAGGGATAGCGTGGTTTAAGAGGAAACACCAGGAACACACAGCAAGAGTTAAAAAAAAAACCCTGGGGGGCGCCTGGGAGGCTCAGTCGGTTAAGCAGCCGACTTCGGCTCAGGTCATGATCTCGCGGTCAGTGAGTTCAAGCCCCGCGTGGGGCTCTGTGCTGACAGCTCAGAGCCTGGAGCCTGTTTCAGATTCTGTGTCTCCCTCTCTCTGACCCTCCCCTGTTCATGCTCTGTCTCTCTCTGTCTCAAAAATAAATAAACGTTAAAAAAAACAAAAACAAAAACAAAACCCTGGTCTCAAACACTGGCTCTGCCATCTTCCATGTTTTGCCAGTTACTTCTCCTTTCTGAACATTAGCTTCTTCATCATAAAAGCATGAGGATAGTAATAATACCATTTGAGATACTGTGAGGATCAGCTACAATAACAGTAATAGTAGTTACAGAAGACAACAACAAAAGGATCGCAAGCTGAAGGTCTTGTGTGTCAGGCATCGTGTCAAATGCCAGATACTCTTCTCTCATTGAATACTCACAACAACTATATGAGCTAGATACTATTCACATCTCTGTTCCTTGAATGATTTTTCTCTCTTCTCTTCTCTCCCCCCCTTTCTCTTTTCTTTCTCTTCCTTCCTTCCTTCCTTCCTTCCTTCCTCTCTCTCTCTCCCTTTCTTTCTTTCTTTCTTTCTTTCTTTCTTTCTTTCTTTCTTTCTTTCTTTTGTTCTTTCTTTCGTTCTTTCTTTCCTTTCAGGCTTCACTGACAGCACGGAACCAGGAACTCATGACACTGAGAGCAAACATGAGCTGAGATCAAGAGTCTGACACTTGGCCATCTGGGTGGCTCAGTCAGTTGAGTGTCTGACTTTAGCTCAGGTCA